GTAAACTCAAGAACATGATGTTCACAGATCCCAGACCATAGAAATTCAACAAGGACCCTTGTGGCACGAGTTTCTCAAACTTTCAAGCTAAGCCAAGCCTTTATTTCCACAAATGGTGTGCCTTTCCTTCATGAGATTTTTACACAGAAAGTATAAAATCCAACTGCACCTGCAATACCAAACCACAACCAATGCTGCCATAAAAAAGGAATAAAGCAGACACTCGCAAAAGGGGAAGCAAGGTAGTATCAGGTATAAAAAAAAGTCTTAAGTTTTCACACTCTAGGTACATCTAAATTTTCTCACACCTTTGGTATTCACACCTGCAGCAGACAGGCCAAAAATGTAATAGTTAGAATTGTTAAAAAACAAAAACAACCATGCTCACAACATGGTGACATTTCATACTTGTTAAAGGTACCAATCTGCAGAAGTGAGAGAAGGTAAGACTCTAGTCAGACCAGCTATAGTAATGTATAATCATCACAGAAGCTTCCCAGTTGATCAGTAAATACGCCAATGCGTCTCAAAGCTGACAGAAAGGCTAAGCTCCATAGCCTTATTTAAGCCCCAGCTGTGGTTCAGCACACTTAGTGGCAGTTGTCAAAGCTGCAAAGCTACTTGAATTATAACACTGAGGGGCTATTTTTTGCAGTATCCATTTGTCCTACTCTAGTACAATTGAGCCCTATTTCCTAGATGATACTCCACTAAAAGCCAACAATACGAAGAAGATGGAGCCACTTTCCATTTTCTAATCTACAATATGCACTACTTTTGGGTTTCACAAATAGAACTGGTGGGGATAGCTACACTCTGTCTCAAAGAGCTTTCAGGACTGAATCAGGTTATGACGATTGCTAATGCAGAACGAGCGCACAAGAAAATGATTGGGATTTCTATTCCATAATTCTGCTTAAACCAAAGTACTAGCTGAGAAATACTATTGTTTAAAACTATCTGGTAGGAATTAGTTCGGGATCACCTTTCTCAGTCCCCAGTCTGCAGGTTCCCAGAAAAACCAACATACGGTAGCAGGTTCAGTCACTGCCAACACAAGCCACACTTGAACTTGTGACCTGGAGGTGGGAAGTCTGTATCCAGTTAAAAAAAAAAAACAAAAAAAAAACTTTCTGATGCAGTTCCTTCATCTCTTTTTTTTTCCTAAATGCACAAAATGTACTATATGCGATGTTACCAATACCTCTACTAAGAAAAAGAGTTCTGTCCACACAAGCAGTTCTAAATATTTTTTAAAGCTTACATCAGTAAGCCCTTTACAGAAAGATTAAGACTCTTACTCAGAGATATTTAACAATAAAAGGACTATAAAGCCATTCATGTTAGCTCTCTGCAAAAAACTTAATGCAAGATACATGCAAGCAATTGGAAATGTTATCAGACTCTTTTTCCTAATACACCCCTGTATTTTGTATAAACCCAAAATTCTGTTTTATGTGATGTTCCTTTTAAGAAAGTTGTGTGACCATTTTAGTTACCCCCATCCCCTTCATACACATACCTCAGGAGAGAGTTTTACAAAGATAAACTGTCTGTTTTTCTAATTAGAAGCCAGGCAGCAAAACACAAATTCACTACATTTCAAATAAGGTAGCATGTTCTTGTACTCCTGATTAAGTGGGGAAGCTGCAATAATTTTTAATACAATTTTCAAGCATTCATTTAAGTGAAATAGGATCATAAAAAAAACACTCTCCCCTTTTTTGAAAGGGTATGCTTATCTGCTTTTAAAATAAATGCCAGGTTGTCATTTGTATCTTTAGTTTCTAAGGTATTCCTAGTCAGAATAGGCTGGGAACAAATAGAACATATTACAAATCTCTGTACTGCCTCCACATCACCCTCCAATCTAAAGAGAATGCTTAGAAGAGACACTTAGTGGCAAACTCCACTGGAGTGTTTTGTTAGTTTTTTAAAATCTAATGCATGTTCTTCCAATGTGGGGGTGCCTGTACTGCCCACCCTTGGCAAAAGTGCCTGGATAACAATAGCTGTTAAAATAGGAATGTGAGTGTAAACAGTATGGGTGAGTGGAACACCCAAAACTGTAGGTGTTTGCCTCATGTTAAATGACTGATCTTGTTAAATAGGACACTGTCATGAGCTGGATTAAACAGTAATCAGGGAATTACAGAGAGTCTTCAGAAATAAAGAAGTCGTCATCTTGAAAGGAAGTATAAAAGAAGTATGAAAAAATATAAGGATGACAGGGAAGAGATAAGAGTAACAGAGCAACAGTCAAAACCTGTTCTGGCACTGCCAGAAACTGCCCCACTAGCACTGCAACCTCTGTTTATATCTGACAGAGCATCCTCCCTGTTGGACTCTGAGTAGCCTGACAGTTACCAGATGCAACAAGTAGGGACCCACACTTCAGATGCGCACATGTGTACTTGTGAGGTGCCTGCTCGCCAGTGTATGGGTTAGTAGATTGTAGGGAACTTCATGGTATACACAGAAGCCAGAGCACTCATGTCCAAAAGGAACTATATGTAAATAAGGGAGCCCACATCCCACAGAGAGGGCTGTGCATGCCTGTGAACCATGCTGCCTACTAGAGACAGGATGCGTGCATGTAACTGAATGTGTATGCGTGCCTGTGCTTAAAACTTTTTGGAATGAGTTACAGAACTATATTTAAAATTTCGCAAATGTTCCTAAAAATCTCATCAGCATCTAATATTCTGTTTTATCTGTTGCATTGCTAATGTTGATCCTAAATATGTAATTCACTGATTGTGTTAATCGTGCATCTTTAATAAATCAAACTGCTTCATTCCTGATTCATTTAAATTGCGTGAATTGAGTAATTTTTCCCTGTGACATTCCAACATTACATAGACTGTACTGACCAAATTTGTTTGAGGCTTCCAAAGTGAATGTATTAATTGAACTTAAAATTCTTATTCTTTATTGCTTACTAGCTTGACTATACTTTTTCACATATCATGGCAACTAAAATGATCGAAGTCCTTTGCAATCAATGCCTTAGGTTTCACAGCTGTCTTGGAAGCAAGGAGTTCTCAGCTGAGACATAACTATGAAATTCATGTTCCATTTCACTAACTGAGCTGAATTTGATGAGGTTGCTTCTCAGTGTCTGAGTTAAACTGCTGCTTGTCAGTGGAAAAAGCTCTTAGAAATTTGCAACCTATAGAAGCTGAGTGTACGCTCACAAGTAGTCTAAAAAAAAAAAAAAAAAAGACTGATCCATGCACTAAGTTGGAGATGCAAATACATAGATTACTAGCCATTTTACACTAAAAGTTACATCTACTATGCATAATTTCCCAGTGTACATAAGTCCTTTCTTTAAGAAAGTACAGAATTTATTAACAGAGAACAGTGAAAAATACTAAGAAGTTGTTTTCTGTAATCTCAACATACTGCACAAGAGAAAGTATACCACCAGTCTCCCTATTCTGTTGGTTCTAAACAGAGATTGCCCAATTGCTTTGTAAGATGAATACTACTCGTGATGCAGTAGATGAGGCTTTTGGAGCCTTAAAGGAAACTGTGTTTTCTGTTTTGGCTGGTGTCTAATGAAAAAGAAGCAGCATGCATATATAGATTAATATGAAAGAAAGAGTCAAAGGAGTCAAAATATCAAGCGTTACCTACCTTGCAGAGCTGAAAAGCTAGCTTACTTAATATTGCCACAATTAAAGAGACAAAAGCCAGACCACCAGATTTAAACTCTTCAGCTTGGCAGCTCAGGGTCAACTTTGGTATGAATACCACAGTGAAAAATTACACCTTCTATGCATTGAAAACATTTTTTTTTTTTTTTACCTACTGCACACCTTGGAAAGGGCATCATGTTACTAAGGCAGGAAATCAGGAATAGTTGGCCTCAGGATCTGGACCCAGAATCTAATACTGAAAATCAAAATTTAACATTTGCCTCCACCTCTCACTTTCAACACTGGCACCAAGTTCCCATTCCTTTCTCTCATACAGTCCTAAACAGGACTTTCCAGTCATAGACCTGCACTTCAGGGAGAATGTCAAGAGGGTAGCAGTTGAGAAGTTCAAACAAAAGCAGCTACCTTTCCAACAATATTAGCATACAACAAGCACAAGACAGCTACAGTAGGTGATAAACACTGAACCAGAAGCTAACAATTATGTAATAGACACTATTACGTATTCATTAACAAGGCCAGGAAAAAAAAAGCCTCCATCTAGAAAACTTGTCTGAAATTGAGAAAGTGGTAAGTAACTTCTCTTTAGTAAACCATTACACATTTGTGATGGTAAGCTTGGTGGGGAGAAGTGTTCTGTTCCTTTACATCAAATGGGTCCCTTTTAAGATCCACCTGAAGATTTGACCTGTTCCTCAACTCTATAAGCCTCAGTCTTTTCCAATGGATGATCAAGTGTTTATTCCCCTAGCTATCCAATAGAAATACTCAGAAGCTAAAGCTTTGCTGTTTACCACCTTTCTCTGATGTACAGGATACTCTGGACATTCAAAACACTGATAGTGAAGATAAAGGAAATGTAGCAAGGAAAAGGATATGAGAACCATTCATCTTTTTCCTACTTCTCCCTTCAACAGACAGTGTCACCATATTCCAAATCAGTGTTTTAAAAATTGAAAGTTTTGTATCTAAAAATCTGTTTATCTCGAGGAAAGGAGGACCAGCCCCGCCCCCCAACCAAACCAAACCACCACCACTAAAAAACACCAGAAAAAGTAGCTTTTTTTTTTTTTTTAATTTCCTTCTTACTACCTTCTCCCTCACCCACCAAAAAATAAGATCTTCTACTGCCTTCTTACACCTCTATCTCTGTACTGCTTTAGTTATCAGCATGTAAAATGAGAATATGCTCAGCTTGTTAAGAATACTCAATATCCCTGGTAGTTCTCTAAGGATGTAGATTTCAGTCATTATAAAAATAATTGAAGCATCAAATATTTGAACTTATATTGTTTACAAGCATAAAGGAAAAGCAAGCTATATATAACTACTCACCAGATTCTCTTCAAACCACTCCCGTATACAAATTGCTGTGGCCCCTGGAATTTGACTTCGCAACGCTTCTTTCTCTTGAGGATCCTCTAACATTTCCAATGCAATCTTTAGATCTTCCAAGAGATGCAAAATTTGAAGCGTGCCCAAGTATACTGATGGAGCAGGTGACACAGTATCATAGCCACCATTGGCATAATCTGTAGCTGACTTTGTACCTAAAACAAGTAAAAACAAGATAATGATTTAAAACAGTTGTTTTAGAAGTGACAAACATATAGGTAACCACACACTACAAGACGCGGTCTTCAGATGCTAGCTGACAAATACCAGTACTTCTTTTAAGGCTTTGAAATACTTGAGTTAGTCACTAAATAACTAATGACCACTTGAGAATTAAGTGCGAGATGTGTGTTATATACAAGTATATTTAAAAAAGAATTTTGACCTAGCAATCCTTGCAATGGATTAAACTACCAACACCAAAACCTTACCACAAATCACCTGCAATTTTCCATGGTTACCATGAGATGTCACTACCTTCTCAAATATATAGCTGGAAGTCCCCGAACACAGCACTATTTCTCAAGCAATGCAAGAAAGACTTAGGCAGTTTTTTTGACAGAAAACTTAGATGAAAATAGATTGTGTTACCAGGATTGAAAAAAATGTAACCTTTAGCAGGTTAAAAAGAAAACCCATAAAGAACAAAAAACAAAGTTAGCAATAAAGACAGCTGACCACACTTTGCTGGCTCTCTAAAATACAAAATGAAAAAATCCCACCCCCCAAAACCAACACCTTTTCCCCTGTCAAAACCTTCAGTAACAATATTATTTCCTCAAGAACAATAAGGTGGCAACAGACATATATCTCACTAGATCACAGATTTTAGTTATAAATAATATAAATTCTACTATCTCTTTTGAATAGTGTATCCAGAAGAAAAAAAGATACAGTGAGACAACAGTAAAAATGTGCCATCTTTTCTCAGTTCTGAATCTGAGACCTCTGATTTCATTAATATCCATTTGTTTCTTTAAGAACTAGTCAGGTGGAAAACTATTTGTCCTACCTATTTTTACATTTTTATTTAAAATTCATCACTTCATGTACATAATAGCTTGCACCCACCTACCCATGAGAACGCTTTCCTGTTCTTTCTGGTATAAACAATTCAATTTTTACCCTTATATGACCGTACGAGATTTTCTAGGCTTCATCATTCTCCCTGTCCTCCTCTGAATCCTTTCATTTTATAACAAGCTTTATAGATGTACGATAGACTCATACTGCATACAGTATTCCTTAGAAGGTTATCCATACAAGGGAATTATAATAATCTCTGAATTATTTTTCATTTTACTCCTCCAGCTGTTTAACATTGTTTACATCTTAGACTGTAGTTGTGAAAGGAACAGAAATCATCACTGAGCTACAGAAAATTATTTGCAAAGTCTTTTTCCTGAGCAGAAGTATTTAATTTGAAAATCAGATGTATGAGTAATTTAAGGTTTCCTTTTCAGTGCATGTTGCTTGGCATTAATCAGTGTTTGTCTGCTCTGTTTATTTATTTACCATGGTTTGGACACTACAAATTATGTTTGAACCCAACCAACTTAACTATTTTACATATAGCCTGATACCTTACTTAGTAAACACAACTCATGAAAACATTAACATTGCAGGTCTTAGTACACCAGAACACCTTCTGCATCTAGGTTAGCGTTCAGTCAGAATGAAAACTGATCATTTATTCCTAATATTGTTTCTCCTCTCAATCAGATTTTGATTCAAGATAATACTTTGTCTCTTATTTTGTTAATGCTTAACTTTCTACAGATGGATATTCTCTAGGGAAATTCAGTGACACTGCAATTCACACATTCTGAGCATAAACAGAACAGGATTTTATGAACTCCTCCATGAGACAATAAAGATACTTCAAAGTATTTTCTTAACAAATAATAGTAAAGGAACAGACAGCAGTTTATTTTGTTCTCTTACATGTATACAGGTGTAATGATCTTATAGGTGAACCGCCTGAAATTCTCGCTCATATGCACTAGCTCCATTAAACCTTGAAAAGAAAAACATCTCTTTGATTAATACTAATTAAAATTAAATGAAGGAAGTAGAGATTGAAAGGTTTGATTTCATTTATAATTTAAAATCTTTCAGAGACTACTATCCATGAAAGAAAAAATTACAAAAAAAATCTGTACTTTAAGATTTGTATTTAGATTTCTAAAAACAGGCAGTGATGGGAGCAGAATGCCATTTGTCTGATACTATTAGGGGAAAAAAAATAAACATAAACAAGCATATTTATGCTCTCTTTGGATCATCACATGGCAAATACAGTGCATAATTCTGAAATGCATGGAAGATTCTAGCTCTCAGAGCAAAACTTCACCAACTTCAAGGGAGTAGGATTGTATATATGCCTAGAATCAAGCAAAGCCTTAAAGTGCTTTACTGGATTGGGGCCACAGTATATAGCAAAAGCAACAAAACCCTAGCAAAACTCCCTGCCCAGAATGAGAGCTAACCACAGATCTCAGTGTTATCACTAAAGAGAACATGACCCTTCCTATTTCCCCATCAAATACATGCATACACTGTCTTTCTTTGTGAAGTTATTTTTAACCTGGTTTGCTGTGGGTTGCTACTGTAGCCTCTTTCATTCTCCTAGATGAAAGGGAAAATGAAGGCAAACCAAGGCACTTTGCATTAGAGAAGGAAGTGCTCTCGAAATGTAGAATTACACTCAGCATTTTAGTTCAGAGAACTTCCTATTTCACTACTTTAATTTGCTTTCCATGTAATTTCATATTAAATAGGACATACATTGTTCACCTCAAGGACAGAACACCACACCCTGAAAAACAGAACTAAAAGCACACAGAAGTAAATATTTAGGTAAATATTCTTTATGTCAAATTCTTTGTGTCTTTGCATTATCATTCTGCAAAGCACATTAAGTTTTAGTACTAAACAGCAAGAATCTGGATATCCTTCCGAAATGAAATATAAAGAGAAGCCTCAGTGCAAACAGTGGCTACATGTTACCATTATATTGTACCCTTAACAGCAATTAGTTTATGTCTGCTTATTATAGGCAGCTGAAGTGAGGAAGAATTCAGTTCAGGCACTAGAATTTTATAGATACTCAGGAGAAATGAGTGCAATTTTGAACTCTGCTAAAAAGACTCAGTGTATGACCTTGAGCAAGCCAGTTCATTTTTCCAAGGGTAAACAGGGCACTGGGGAATCTTCTGTATTATATTTATGTAATACTCAACACCATCGTTTCCTAATGTCCTACTGGAATACAATTAATCATCACAAATGTCCACCTTAGAATGGGGTGGGGGGGAGGTCTGGACAAAGAAAATTCAAGCAACTCAATTTTGGCTTCCACATCCAGACAGCGGATGAAGGAGGTTAGAAGTCGCTGCATAGCATATTTATGTTAGAAAGAATAACAAAGTAATAAAAAGAGGAAAACAACTTTAAGTTACACATTTCCTGTACCCCGACCATGCAAGCACATTCTGAGTTCCAAGTTCCTTGCAATTAGCTGAATGGCTTCAAAGAAAAGTTCCTTTTGGGCAAATACATAACCTATTCAGGAAAGAGTATTATTTGTAACTTGTGAAAGTAAGTTATACAAAGAGCACTAAAAAAAGAGTTAGTGAGTCTTACCACTTGGAAAATCCACTCTCCTCAGCTTCTATTATACACATTCATCTTTCACAGGTCTTTCATCACTTTTAGCAGTAGATACTGTTTCTGATCTCACACTTTTCCTTCACACTAAATTTCTGCTCCATTGCATTCATCTTGATTATCTCAGTCTTTTCTCTTAAATTGGCTGAGATATAAGAATATGATTTCTGGTAACAGACAACTCAACCTTCAATGTTTACAAAGAGCTATTCATAACATAGCTGAGTTTTCTAGTCCAGAAAGCAGGAAAAAAAAAAGAAAAAGAAAAAAAGCACCCTAATCCTACCCTGGTGTAAGGATGGCTTTCTATAAAGCTGAAATATTCAAAGATAACAGTTTTAGTATGTCACCAACACTGTTAGAATAAAATCATAACCACACATTTTCTCTAACCGTTCAGTCAGTCACCACACTTCTACAGAACATCTGATTCATTTATTTATTTGTGTTTTTTACTCAGTGAGCGTACATGTTATTCAAGTTCTTCTTCTCTCCTCCAAGATTTCAAAATTTTCTTTTGAAGTGCAAGTCCCTTTTCCTCATGAAGATAGCCTTAAAAAAACCTTAAATTTATGTAAAGTAGCAGTAAAGCCTGAATGGGACACAATTCAGCCTTCTCCTTCCCAAGCCTTCTGTCAATGGAATGAAGAGGTAGCTCACACCACCCTTTCTTCTTACATCACAATGTAAAATACATCACAGATATTGTATTTTGAATCACAGCTCATATTAGCTTCTCCTCAAATCTCTGTGTTTAGATCCTTAACTACAGGGAACAGAAACTGTTAAGCTGGAGCAGCAGGAAGCCCTAGAAATGTTAATGATGACGATGAGATGCATTACACACAGCTTTAAGTTTCACGTAGCTCAGAAGATTTTCAAAATGCTTTAATAAACAGCCACACATGGACTCTTCGAGACAATTTAAGGCCTGTCTATAATTTCATATGCAAATTATATATGTATTTACTCAACCTTTTCCTTTTAACATGCTCATAAGCCCTAAGCAGTGATCTATGCACATTAAGTACTATATACACACACATGTGCAACAACAAGATCTCTCTCATCAAAATGCACTTGCAAGTCAAGCAGCCTTACGGGTGGTAGAAAAAGGAGAACAGACTATGCAGCAATGGCTGAGGTTCACCAAGGGTAGGAGAACGCAGTTCTCAGTACCATATTTGAGGCACAATCTCCATTGTACAGGAAGAACAAAATTAACACATTTTATTAAGGACAGCAACAACTTGCACCACTTTTCTCTCTGCTAGACCATTTTTCCATAGGTATTTCTACCTGTGAAACTAGTAACCTAATTAAAACAATGTTGTGAGCTAACAAACACATTCTTTCAGTATAAAACCCAGAATGGCTTGCATTAACCACTACCGGTAGCATGAATGCTGTTTCATGAAAATATGTATCTCTCGAAGCACAAAAAGAATAAGAGCATTCAGTTTCTGAGGAAAGAAGTTGTTTCATA